ACCTCTGACTTCACAGATACTGACCTACTCCCCGGAGGTTATCTAATTGACTTGGATAACTCAGAGAAATGTATTGTGCTGCAAGATGAAGGCGCTGACAAAATTCAGGGTCTTCTGGACGTGTTGAGCAGAAACTCGAGTATCTTTAGCTGGCATGCCTTTCTCACTTGTCAAATGTAAGATGATCCTCTAGAACTGGTCTGCTGCAAGTACTCTCAGCTTAATGATTGGGACTTAAGTGATTGAATGTATCGACCACTTCACATATCAGGCGAGAAGCATCAACCAAAATGGGATGGTTACTCAATAAATTTCAGCTCGAATGCAGAAAACCTATTTGACACTTGCCAACCTGAGTGTTTTGTGGAGGCAACTGGTGATGTATTCGACTATTTACAGAAAAACCGAATAAACTGTGCTGCAGTTCGTTTTGTCCTGTTATACAACTGTGAGATGTGGCCATAGAAAGTAGAAGACATGAAAAGGTTACAGGGTTGTGATTACAGGTGTCTTCGCAGCATTGCTTGAGTTTGGTGCGATCACTGTTTTAGTAATGTTGCCGTGAGACAACGAGTACCAGGATAGTCGATTGTAAACCTTAGTCGACTGAGATGGCTTGGAAATGCGCTGCGTAGGTCCAGACACAGCCTACCTCGACTTGTCATGCTAGAGTAAGTTAGACTGGGTTGGGATAAAGTTCAGGGTGGCCAAACCAACTAGAAAGCACCAGTTTATGAAGTTCCTGACTGTTGGTGTGAGCAGCGAAGATTGCCTGGTTGTAGTCCCCAAGACGATAAAAACCAGTGGTTCTGGACTCTTGGTAAAATGGATGAAAATCGATTACAATGTTGATGCATTCACTCCTTGATGTCTTCTGAAGCTTGAACACTCCCATTAGGTTTTATCCTCAGATTGCTTACTCTCTCATACAACTTCCTCTACTTTGATATTACTCCTTTTCTATCCATCTGTTCTTTGTATACTATTGTGAAGTGTGACAACTCGAACCGATGGCCCAATCCCCACAATTGCACTTTCCAAGCGTTTTGTAAGACCTGTGAAATATGGAGGCATACAGATATTAATAAATTCGTTTCTATTCTTTTTTTGCAATCTCTGGCAAAGGAGTTTGTAATGGAATGTAACCATAATGTATAGAAGTACGGAGACTTCGCAAACATAAGTCCTCACAATGTTATTGCTTGTAACACTAAAACTATACCCGTCGCACAAGAAGTGGCTATCGTAGCTCGGTGGTCTAGTGGATAACCCTCTGGCATTAGAAATGATTGTTCTCGGGTTCAAATTCCGGTGGGAACAACACCACTCACTGGGAGGCAGATACATCCGGCTGACGAGTCCCAAGCAGGGCGAAATGCGCATCCTGGATTTCGCAGCTAGCCACTACATAACTTGTCCTCACAGCTTAAATTTTCAAAAAAATGTTTTACAACTCAATCTCGTACACAGTTCTATTTACTAAGCAATACTTGCGTGAAGGCCTATGATAGTACCCAGTTACTTAGGTTGAAGGTTAAGGGTGGCCACACCAAGATACCACAATGTCTCTAACTATTGGTTTAAGTCGTGGAACGAGATGTAGTTTATCTGGCTGAGATCTTCGAACAATAAGAATCAACAATTGGAGAGTCTTGGTGGCATAGTTGGAGACCTTTTACAATAGTGCAGATATATTCCGTCTTTGAGATCTGTGAAAGTTTGAAATATTCACTAACCTTCATTCTTTTGAAATCCTCTCTCTTCCCATACATTTTTATCTACTTTACCTATACTCTTTATCCAACTACTTGTTGTTATTTCGGTATGCTGATGCTTAGCCTGGCAACTTTGATCAATACATTTCTGTGTCACGTTCTACGTTGATTGTCTAGAAGTCAGAGAAAGGTAAATTGGGTGGGGTGTATACCCTTGACGTGCATAGAGTTGCAAAGGATCATATGTATTCCACGTCAATTTGTTGGTGCGGCTCGTTCTGTTCAGTTATACCACTGTGAAATAAGACCCTTAAAAATAGAAGATAAGAAGCAATTGCAAATTCTTGACCACAGGTATCTTGGTAGCATTCCCCGTGTGAGTAATATTCAGCCCAGACTAAGAGTTCTAGACAAGACAGGGAAGTCAACAGATGTGATTGTAAACCTTCAGCAGCTGAGGTCACGTAGACATGCACTGTGCATGCCGATTCCAGGCCTATCTCAACATATGGTGCTACGTGAAGCTGGATTAAATTGTAAGAGGGTTGAGGGTAGTCAGAACAAGATGTGACATCAGTCGACGAAGTCATTGACTGTTGGTTTGAGCCATGTGGGGAGATGTAGACTGCCTAGTTGGAGTCTCCGTGACGATAGAAATCAGTGGTTCAGAACCCTTGGTAACATGGCTCACTCCTTGACATCTAAAGCTTCAACATTTTCACTAACCGCTATCTTCAAACTGTTTTTTTTCTCACGCAACTTTGTTTACTTTGATAACACTTTTTCTGCCCACTTGTGCTTTGTATACTACTCTGAAGTGTGACAGCTAGAACTGACCCACTTGTGTGCGAAGTTTTATGTTGATCTTGTCTGTCTGTCAGCAACCGATGAGCTTTATTTGACATAAGCCGATAAACAATATATCTTAGCTTTTGATATAACACCTGTTGTACCGAAACAGCTGGGTGCTATGAAACACAGTCTTGTTTCTGTTGGGCGTAACAATTTGATTTCTTATACTGAATTATGGTATAACATTTTTAAGCATACCATTTACTCTTTATCAATACTTAGAGGGTAACGGATATGTAAATCTTAATTGGTTTAAATTACTCGCATTTTAGACAACTATCTTTTTAGATAGCACTCATCAACACATTTGCAAAAAATATCTCCTCCTGAGATTATAGAGTTTCTCTCTAAAGTCTCAATTACACTTTACAACTGCTCTTATACATATGGAAGAATGTCTCTTGTAAGAGAAATACATACGTACTTGCTTACTCATTCATTCTGCTTACAACACAACTTTCCTATGTGAAATACTGATTGGTTTCACTATAAACTTTACAGAAGAGAATATTGCCAATTTATTGACACAATAATTAATATAACTTGACTCATTGTCAACCAAAGGTTATAATTTTGCATTCGCGAGTAGCTGTTGTAAGTGGTTTTCATCCGAAGCCGACATGAATTGAGTCACCGAACCACCCTCCTCATGAGATAATTTCCAAAACACGAAGTTGAGACCCAGGGGGTTATTTTACGAGAAACTACAATTGACTCAGTATTTTAGTTTCAGAAGCAGAACAGTTGCTACTCACAGATGCAAGACTAACCGTTAACCAAATAACAGTCTCCCACTCGTCATCTAACTACACAGAGGTTGACCTAATCGAGAGAGAATTTCCATCAGACCTAGAATACGCAGATGACATAGTCCTGTCAGGTGAGGACGCTGACAAGATGCAGAGTCTTCTGCACATTTTGAGTGGCAATTTGAGAATGTTTAGGATGCGTTTCTCACAATTCAAATCCAAATTGTTGCTCCAGAATCGGTCTTCAACGATACCTCGGCTAACAGTAAAGAGTGAAGAGGTTGTATGGCCACTTCACTCACTTAGGTAGTGGGATCAACCCTGGTGGCTCAATAGCCGATGAAATCTCTGCATAACTACAAAAGGCTCGGCTGGTTTTCGCCAACTTACGCCATCTGTGATATTCAATTGCTTATTAGGGATCGCGTGTACTGCACTGCAGTTCACTCAGCGAAACATGGCCATTGAAGATGAGAGACACGAGAAGGCTTTAGGTGTTTGACCACCGTTGCCTTCGTAGCATAGGCCGCCGTATTCCGTGGTGTCACCACGTGAGTAACGCACAAGTCAGGTGTAGAGTTTTAGGGAGATGTAAATCAGTTGACGAGGTTATGAACCTTGACCGACTGAGATGGTTGAGACACGTATTACGTATGCCAAATCACCGATTGCCTCGTCACACAATGTTGGTCGAAGTAGTTTCAAGCTGGAAAAAGGCCCAAGACGCCCAAACTAAAACATGGCATCAATGTATGAAGTCTCTGACTTTTGGTTTGGGCCATGTGGGGCGATGCAGACTGGATGGTTGAGGTCTGCGGGACAAGAGACTGACTCTAGGTGATCACATGGCTGAGAACCGATGTCAGTGGTGCAGATGTATATGCACATTATCCTCATCTTAACGCTATACTGAATCTCACCATTTTCTCATTCTTCTTTTTCCTCATTTAGTGCTTTATATTTCATTTGACTGAATTTTCTTTGCTTCACCTTCCACTTCACTACCTTTTTAATTGGTGTACTGATATAAGCTGTGGCAAATCGGACCGTTATGCAGTAATGCCTGGTCTTATGTTGGTTTCGATTGGATTGGGATCAGCAGTCGACAGAAACTTACGAACACACCAACGCACTAGTAACACTAACGTCGAGTGTGGAGTTTTGGGCAAAGGACGTGTGCTACACAAGCCTATATACCGTCTGCTCTATTACATGATGTTAGCCAAAGTAAGCTGAAGAAAGGTTAGAAATGACGAGACTTTAATATGGTATCAATCCCTGAAGCGTTTGACAGCTAGTCTGAGCCGTGTATACTTCCCGGTCCGCACCCGCATGATAACGGGAACTAGTGATCACACATTGTAGGTGATATGACTCCGAACGATCTCAGTGGCGCAGATGTATCCACGTATTATCTTTGTCTTAATCGTTATACCGAATTTCATCAGTCTTACTCTCCACTTTTTCGTTTTTCACAGCTTTGTACTGCTTTAGACTACCTTCTCCCATTTTTTTATTCTTCATTCTTTGGATGCTCGTTTAATGTGTTGATATAAAGTATGGCCAAAAAAAAAGATGGACCGTCAGATAGTGACACCAGGCTTCATGTCGATACTGACTGACTTTGACTCCAAGAAGAATTTGACACTAATCAGAGCAACTACAAAGTATAAATGAGACTGTGAGAATAAGTAAAAATGTTTATTTCGTCTAAACAGAGTTGAATATCCACTAGTGTGATGTAAATACTTTTACGTTAACAGCTATCTATCTATGACATATTCTTCAGTAAAGTTAGGATTTTCTCTGGATTTCGTAAATTTTAAAAGATTTAAATATCCAACATTTACACTGACCCATTATTGTTTATACAGTAATAATTCAACTTTTCAAAGTCAACAATTTATAGGCTCATATATTAAACTAGTTAGGATTCTCACTTTTGCTGTAACCTACGCTCAACAGAAAACTGATAAAATATATAACTGATCAAAACTGTATTCTACGAAATGCCTGTACATAATTAGTTAGATCACCGCAATCTTGAAGGTACATGTATCCTTGGGTCAGCAATGAACGCACTCACTTTACTTTCAAACGGCATAAAACCTAACAAGTTAATAATTACTGAAAACAAAACCTCACCGAATTGTCGAGACTTTTTAATCAATTGCGATATTCTTTTCTGCATTGGTATACACATTCCTGTTATATGACGTCCATAGATACGCCCTGTATACGGAGAGACGAATTGCGACAGCAAACGGACGTTCTAAAATGCAATAAACTACTTTTATGTGTATACCTTATAATCTAAAGGGATGTTTTTTTGACAAATGAAGCATTTCTTAGGCGGTTTAACGTACGGATCTGGTATATCAACCGGCTTCAATAATAAAAACAAAGATATTCAGTCTAACCTTATCATTATTTAGACTACAGTCTGCAGACACAAAACGTACACGTAACCCCAGTTTCGATTCAGCAAACCTTAGTAAACATGCAGCAGTTTTATAGTGCAAAGTAGCGATTGATATCATACCTTGCGCAGCTTATTGCACACCTTGAGTATTCAATATCCAATTCAGTAAATTCTAATGAGCGGTCCAACATTCAATACCCATTTACAAGCTTGCGTAAACCATTCGGTCTTGTTACCCTCTATTTCGGAGAGCTTCAGGTCACTTACGGGATCTGACATAATAAATCTATTCACTTGCTTGACATAGATCTAGTAAACTCAAATGGTTCGAGTGGTTATTGACAGAAAAGAAAAAGCTCCCGCTTAATTAGCTTAAAAAAATTTATGGAGCACCCGTTCCTGTGGTTTTTAATCTGTATACATGTAAAGAAGGAACAAAACGTGAGGGTTAAAATAGGGATATTCAGTTAGTTGCGTTCTGATTCAACCCACATCTTAAGCAAATATCAAGCTGGGGTTTCAGGAATTGAGGTAAAGTGGCCCGGATTACCTCTCCAGGAAGACCATTCCAGGAGTGATCAACTCTTGGGGAGTAAACGTTGCGCCTGGTATCTAACCTCTTACGCTCTAGGCTTGGTTTCATAGTGTCCTTTAAGATTCGTGCTACTGTAGCGTCACACACTTCCCCAAAATCAAAAGCCTAGGGTTTGACGACTTCGACATTGATGCTGACCTTGATAGTTTAACTGGACTCGCTAAGCTGAAGGCACCCGGCCAAGCATCCTCGCCATTTGGCACGCTGTCGTATTACGTTGCACTGCTCGTATCCGACTCTCTAGCCAGTTAGTTGGAAGGCATCGGTATTCTGGCACATCCATCCAAATATACTATTCCATCCGACTGCGCTGTCGTGTTCTTCCTTGGTCTCGCATTCGTGGGTGTGTAACAAGTCAGAATAATTGGTGATTGGCCTTTGCGTCTGTCAAGTTCGCACCAGGACAAATCCTAAACTACAACTAGGTTTCAATAAGTGGCGGAGTGGGCATCCAAACTTCAAACCTCTGACCTTGTACTGTGAAATTAGCGAACCATGGTTCCTACGCTTGTCCCGCTGGAGTGCGTTCTAGGTTTTGGATGGTCGCAGCTGTCCTCCTGGTTACGAAAAAAGAGGGGATAGATATAAGCGGTCAATAGTTATTCTGATCTCAAGGTACTATTACTCCGCCTGATCTATAGACGACGGAAGGCTTCTCGAATACAGATCATCGCTACTACAAGACTCGAAACGTACATCTAACCTGTTCTTGAAAGCATCAGAGGTGGAGCTGTAACAACTTCTGAAGTAGGTGGTTCCAGAGTTCACAAACTGACTGCAAACGAGTAAGGATGAATCTTTTTACGTGCTCTTGCAGAGTATATCTCATATTGTTTTATTGACCTACTTAACATGTCACTGAATATCCGTTTAATTGAACTGGTTTTGAGTTTTTGTAGGTTCATTTGTCAATACGACATCCCGCTTTACACATCTCGTTATCCCCTGATATTTATTCTGTCTGGCGATGGTGGATCAACAGTGTAGAGGATGGTAAGAAGGGCGACTGTGTATCGGGGAGCGTATATAAATCTGGAGTCATACCGGGGCTAAATAGACTGGTGACCCGACGGGATTCAACTCCCGTAGGTTTTACTGGTAATTACTTTTATGGTTTCCGATTGCTTACCGCAATCACTGTTACCAACAGCTAAACACGATACGGATACATATATATATGTACCACTGGCACCGTAACACCCCCGAAATGTACAGTGGCCCATAGGGATTCTTTCTGTTTTTCGAGCATTGTATTTTCCAAGGGAATACAGAGATTGTTTCGGAAGTGCATCAAACGTCCACCTCCTTGCTTACTGTCCGGTCACCTCCATAGTGTGTGAATACATTGATACTTATTTCATCGTCTGGTATACTAGGATAACACCATGATTTCATGATCATTATGACAGGTGGTCTGAACAGGAGCGATATTGCTCTTATTGTTATTAGTTTGTCTATGACACTTGGCATCAACAAGGATAACAGATAGGCATGAATAGTAGAATTGCGTAAACGTTTCGTGATTGGTGAAGAGGGTCAGAGGTGTCAGACTTGTAAATGTTTGCACGCTTATTCTACTGGGAGGTTTCGTTACACGAACATGCAGCACTTATATCCTCTAGCAGCAGAATAGGTGGGAGGTGAGATTATCTATCATGAAGAAGCATGTAATTTATGCAGTGACTTGCCCACACATGTAAAAATGGTGGGTGTCTGTACGTTCACGAATAAACATTATTACTCTGTCAAAAATCCACGCTTGAGTATGGTATGTCGACATCATGCTACATGAGTTTCCGTGATTTGCGGTTTCGGTGATTAGGTAGACGGTGGTTTTGGTAGTGACGAGTTGGGATCGAGTGAGCCATTGGTTCACCCCAAACGTGGTGTAAACGTGGAGTGGGGAGTTGCTTTGTTGAGGGACCTATCTGAAGAAGGGTAAGTGAGGTGGGCAGTATCTTTTCGTGTACATCGGCGGGCTAGTTGAGCGTAGCCTAGTTAGGAATGAATCTGAAGTGGCTGCAGAAAACACTGTCCATGCCACTTGGGCCTGTCATTGTAGACAGTGTGCATGATTTAGATCTGCCTGGAAAGAAAGGATGCTGCATGAATGGCCGTTCATTGACCGAGTATAGCGAGGAAAACCAAGTTTTCCGGGTGCCATAACACTGCCTGAGGACTGGCGGTCTCGCATTGTGGTGTGGTTTAATGTGGTACCTCTTATATTACTGAGTTCATTGTGCTAATTCTACAACACGAAGTTTGAAGTCTGAGGCACTTTGTGTGTCCCACAAAGTTGCAACCATACAGGTTGGACATGTATGGTGGTCACAAGTAGACTTAAGCCATCGATGCGTATGAGTAGGCATGCGTAAAAAGAGTGATTTAACGGACAGTATATAATAGATTCATTTGTGCATGGTCTAAGGTATATGTATAGGAAAACACCCATCAAGTCATTCGGATTTGTAAACATGGGGTTGAGGTCTTCCGGGGTGGAAGTTCACTGGAGAGGTCGCCTGCTTTTCATATGCCTATGCGGTGGCATGCTATTGCTTTGTCCCCTCAGTACTTAAGAGAGTAGTGGGTTATTAGCTCATTGAAATCGATCAAGTGAAGGGCGTTTTTTCTTGTCCATCTTGGGGGCCCTCGAGACCTCAGCCACAGCAGAACCTTGAGTCTTATTGTTTGTTTGCGTATAGTAGGTTTGTTGTGATACTTGGCTTCTAGTCTCATTAATAGCTGCTTCTGCAAACCAGGTGGACAGATAGGTCTGAGTGAAGATCTATCCGAATCAACGGCTTCATCACTGTTACACACAGAATCAGCACTGGCACTTGCAGGCACTGGTGCAATGCTTTGGGACGGATTTGATTTGCCATCCGAGACATCTAGACAATTGCTAGGTGAAGAACAGCTGCTTTTAGGCGAAGTGAGCTACAAGCCTGCATTATTTCTGTGATTCCGTTGCCGGTAAACAGTCTATTCTGATGCAGTCCCTACCTTTGTAAGTCTGATGGTGATCGTGACAGTGTCACAAAACTGATGAACTTGATAATCGTTTGCTGGTAGTCGAAAAGGCATAGAACCGGACAGTAGAATTTTCAGAGTTTTCGCGGGTCTAAAACACCTGCATAGGGCATCTGATGCAGTGATAGGCCTCAGAACCGCTACCGTAACCCTATTTGTCGGTAATGCATTTGGGGCGCTGAAAAACGTAGTCCCCGACTGTCGGACTGATCATCAGGTTGCCGGTCAAAATGTTCGTCAGTTTTGACATCACTGTAGCTCCTGGTATCAGATGGGTATGATCCCATTGGCGTTCTCATACCAAAAGGTCCTTTTTCTGCTTAGTTGTTGGCGCCACAACCTGCATCGAAGCCTGGAATAAGGTGTGTGCCGAAAGGCGCCATATTCCCTTATAATTTCCACCAGTGACAGCAACAAGCAAAACATCCGTCACTCACGCGCAGCACAACTTGAAGGGGGTGGGGAAAACCGCCATATGCATCATCACACTGATGGAGCTGTGGCAAGTAATAAGCTCACCTCTATTTCTTCACTCCCTCAATACCCTCCCCATCGATGGGAAATAGTGTTAAATTCAAAAATGTTTGCACATATTAAGATGGCTAAAGATCGAACCCCGCTTTAAAGGAAAAATGCAAAACGCCAGGTGGTAACCAACAACCATATACCCACTACGGGGAGAGCAAGTGCCGCATCTGAAGGTAATGTTCTCGTCCAACACTGTCTTGGTAGAATACCTGACTCTGAAAGCCTTACACCGGGTACTATCAAGTGTCAAAAACCTGGTAAGATGATACCTGTTGGCCGATACAGTCGGGTAGTAAATGCAGAGCTCACACGAGTACTGTACTCAGCCAGTCTGCACACCACTTAGGGGGAAAAATACTTCATGTGTCTACCGATAGTAACAGGCACACCCCACCTATAGACCTAAGCTCACCCCCTTCTAACTGGAAAACATGCCAGTTTAGATCTCGTAGCAATGAAGGGACACGGACAAATGTAATAATGATAAATCCCTATACCAAAACGAACTACTTCCTTTGGAAATAAGGGCTTTGAGAGGCCGGAAACCAGCAGAATGAACCCATCTGCTGCGCTAAATGAAGATAGGATTGCAAATAAACCAATACGACCCCGAAAGAGGCTGTCTCTACTAACCACATTCGATACAGACCGGGCAGCGGAAATACGTACCCGAGGAATGACTGGATGAAAATTCCCCCCACAAACACAACCAATGATCCGAAACACATGAACAATAGACGTAATAACGCAACGCGTCGATATTGGTCTGTAACACAGGACCCAGGAAGTAGCGAAAATACTTATAGTGGACCGTACGCCTCGTACAACTCATAGATGAGCCAAAGTTACCACATCCCTGACAGCACAGATATGCAGCCTAGTTTTTTCCACTACCCGCCTATCCTATCGCCGAACCCATCTATTGAGTCCCTGATGACACCACAATCGGTAGTGAAGCCTAGAATAAGGTATATGCCGAACGGCACCACCTTCCCTTATCAT